CATCAGTGTAAGAACATACATCATGAGCTGTGAACCTTTAAACCCTGTGGTTTTGCCGAACAGTTTGAGCTGTAGCTGAGTAAAACAATTGAAAATATTGTACGGTGTATGTCCAGCTTTAGCCTTGGTCCTTAAGGCTCACTGCCCTTCGGGTTTTAGATGTGTTTCTACTCCAGCCCGCCATGATTCAAATGATTACATTACCTCGTCGGCAGCCATCACATGCTGCAAAAGCCTGTTGATCACCTTCTTATTCAGACTTAGACAGTCCTAGACGCCGGCATGGCGGTGGCTGGGGGGCTTCTTCGTGGCTGTCTCTCCTCCTGCCTTGGTGGGGGTCTGATTTCCGGGGCTGGCCCCGCCTTGGTGCCTTCGCTTCTGGGGTTTTGGGTCTCCCGGCGCTGGACTCAGTGCTCTGGGGGGTATGCCTCTCCGGCTCTCCACAACCACTATTGAGCATTTTTTCTATAGTTAAAACTTCACATGCACAAGTTCACCCTCACAAACAACTACAGGTGCTAGGCTTCAGGTACTTAGAGATTCACTTCCAAACAGAAACCCCACATTCATATCTTCAGGTAACACAGAGTACATGTCAGACTTAATAATATTACTTTAGCGATAGTTTCAAGGTGTTTGCTTTATTGTATATCTCGTACCATGTCTTTTGGTTGTGCTGTTCTTTTTTTTTTTCTCATCTCATTGCAGGTGATGAAGCAGACTGAAAATGTTTTGTCATTGTCTCCTTCCTATCTCCTCTTTCTTTCATCTTTTGTCCTTTTTTTTTTTCTTTTTCTTTTTCCTTCTTATTCTTCTGTTTTTCTGCTCTACTTACATTGCAGTGTCCATATGAACTGTAAAACTCCCTGCATAATTATAATAAAGCTATTTATATACATGAAACAAGTGGAGCAGTATGGCAATTGCGATACCGCTACACTTGTGAAAGTAAAATCTGTTGGGCTCCTTTTGGCATCAAGACAATTATTCTTATTGCCACCTTGTCCGACAGGACACTGTAAAAAAAAAAAAAAAAAAAAAAAAGACAGTCTTAGACTTATACAGTCTTGTCATTTTGTATACACAAGTGTATACACAAGTGTATACAAAATGAAATTTATCTTAAAACAGCTCTAGACAATTTCATTTTTTAGAAAAAAACAGTAATATAAACGTATGACTATATATATTTACAGTTCCAACATTAACTTTTTGGTAAATTTTGGTAAATGATTTTGGTAAATAAAATGACCCATTTTACACAACATTCAGCAGTCTAATGGCAGTGGGGAAGAAATTGTTATGGAATCTGCTGGACCTGCATCTGATGCTTCGAAGTCTCTTCCCAGAGGGCAGCAGGGAGAACAGTTCATGGTGAGAGTGTGAGGGTTCATCTATGGTGTTATGAGCTCGGGACATGCAGCGCTGGGATGAAATGTCTTTAATGGAGGGAAGAGGAAGAGGCTCCACACCACACAGTGAGACAGCTGGTCAGAACGCTCTCTATGGTGCTTCTGTAGAAGGTGGTGTGGATGGGTGGGGACAGGTGGGCTCTCCTCATCCTCCGCAAGAAGTACATGCACTTTTGTGCCCTTTTGATCATTGAGGGGGTGTTTACATTCCAGGTGAGGGTGTCTGTGTTGTTCACCCCCAGGGAATTGGTGCTGTTGACCATCTCTACAGCTGAGCTGTTGATGACCAGTGGACAGTATATAGTATTAAATTAAGCACAAAGTGTCTCAAGAATATTGATTGTGGATGTAAATAGGTTGAGGAGCAAAGTTTAGGGATACTTTTTCAAAAACACACATACATTGAATCATTCATTACAAAAGATAAGGCAACAAACAGCAACCAGCACTTTATACATTTTGGAATCACTACAACAATGGCTGATAACATGTTTTTAGTCTTTCCTGATAATTAATCAATACACCGAGAGATCACCTACCTCACAGACCAATATAGATATATATTTAGGTTTGAGAATTTTTTTAGAATTTAAAGATAGCCCATGCAGCAACCTGTTATGTCAGCCTCATGTTCTCCTTTCCTACTGTCCTTTGGCATGAGCAGACCCCTGCTTAAAACCTTCTATGACTGTGTGGTGGCATCAGCCCTCCTTTAAGCTGTCGTCTGCTGGGCTCCTGGCAGCGCAAACAAACTGGTGAGAAAGGTCTTTGCTGTACTGGGCTGCAATCTTGACTCAGTGGAGGAAGTGGCTGAGAGGAGGTTGCTTACATCCATGATGGACAACACCTGCAAAAGACTGTAGAGGAGCTGAGCAGCTCCTTTGGTGAAAGACTTTTACAAACTGTTTGTAAAAAGAAGCACTACCACAGGTCATTCATCCCTGCTGAAACCAGACTCTACAATTCAACACTACAAAGACAATAACCTGTGCAATGTATAATGTGCAATTACTTTTTAATACACTTCCGTAAAAATTCAAAAAATATCCCATGGACTTGGTTTAACGGTCGTTAAAGGGGGGATTGCCATTAACGACTGACCCCCTAGAATCATAGACAGGTTCAGATATTACAGGCTAACGATGGAATTAAACGACCCATTCATCGGTTACCATTGCATGTTTCCAAGCAATACAAGGCCTTGTCCATATAAGACTCAAACTCACTGCGGATCCAGACATTTGAATTGAGAAAGCTTCCTGGAGAGGTGGCGAAACGTCTTCAAATCTTGAAAACCAAGTCCAGTGGATATTTTTTGAATTTTTACGGAATGACTATGACCTGGATGACTGAGAACCTTCATCAGCATATTTTTAATACACTGTTCAATAACCTGTTTCTCTATATTTAACACCCAGTGCAATAACTAAATATATATAAATATAAATATACATCTATATAAATATTAATGTTAACACCTTGTGCAATAACCCTGTATAATAATCCTACTAAAAAATGAAAAAAAGCTGTCATATGTGGACACACTGTATATACTGTATGTATCGCATGCAACTTTTTCTTCCTTTGGCACATTCTTCTTCTCCTTTGACTATTTAAGCAGATGTAAATGTATCCACTGTGAGATCAATAAAGTCAATCAATCAATCAATAAAATTTTGGCTGTCATTGTTCAGAGCTCAACGACGACAAAAAATATGTTCAAAGACTATTTTTTGACGTACAAAAGATTGAATATTTTGATAAATGATTGGTTTCTTTTGCTTCAACTCAAATGGCAAAACAGGTTTATGTGTCATATTTATTATTATTGAAATTTTGCATGTAGTACATGCCTTCTCAGAAGAAGCAGGTATTGGGTGAATAGATGGATGCTCTTGTCATCACTAGTAAAAACAGCTTAGAACTCAAAGACAAAACTTTTGCCTCTATAAGTCATCATTTTTTTACAAATATAACCAATAACCATTAAAAAGTTGCTTTGAGTTGAGATTGCAGATTGCTATAGATTCATTTTTTTCTGAAAGCATATGGATGAAGAGAGCTTCTGCATTAAAGGGAAAGAAGAAGAGTTTCAGCAATCTGATAACTGACAGTGTGAAAAATGTGTGAATGATTCTCAATGATTCCAAGTTTATTATTAGATACATAACAAATAGCCAAGTTCATACATTTTACACAACATCTTAAAGTTACATCTGAATAGAGCAAATCACAGAGGGTTACATTAGAACAACATTAAAATTGAATCTGATCATGATTATGTGTTGACACCCTATGAATCTTCATAGTGCTAAAGGATTAGGAAAAGTTATATGTTTGCGTGTCGCCATTGGAAATATTTGTTGTTAACTATAATGGTTTTGATTTGGGAGTGTTTGGCAGATACAGGCACAGTGTACTACTAAAAAAAAACGTTATTTAATGATTGAAAAACACCATCTTTGAAATTTTATTTGCTCTGGATTTCACCAGCGGGTCAAGACTTAAAAATAAGTAGTTTTACTGCAGTTATCCAGACATAATACCCAGTTGAACAAATAGATTCTAATCATTGTTACTGAACTGAGGGGGCTGCCTTTATGCTGAGTTCAACTCAATAAGTGCAACCTAAAAGCACATTATAGAGCAAAAGAAAAGCAATAGACTTAATAAGTGTCATGAAAACCAAAGAAAAAATCTATTTGATCGCAAAGTCAGGCTAATAACCTAAGATTTATTAGATTTATAATTATTTTATTTCAAATAATTATAGAAAACATCATACTGCTTAAGTATTATTGAATGATTACATTTGCCTTCACTGTCTAATCATTTAGGAATGTTTTGTTGATGTTGCACCCAGGAAACAGTTTAAAAAAGAATTCCACCTGAGAAATACAGTCTATTATTTCCAATTGTATCATATGATATCATACCAGTTGACCATGTCAGACTTTATCATAGCTTGTTGTAACATTTGCTATGAAAAGGAAATATATAAAATTGTATTAACACAGTGACTCAAAATAAATTGTATTGTATCACATTATTTTGCATCATATCATACTGTATTATATTGAATTAAAATAATGTATTAAATCATACTGAACTACAATGTAGCCCACTGGAAGTTAAGCTTTATGTTTTATCCTACTGCATTGTTTTTTCTAGCATTATTCTGCTTTTATTCTTTTTCATAGCAAATTAAATTTAGTTACTTTGGATAGTATCACCTCACAGTATACTGTTTCCTGTATATTACATTATATTTAAAGACCTCAAACTGTCTTATTTCAAATGGTCTGAAAATGACATGTATCGTTTATCAACTGTCGTAATGTTAAATTGCATCATATCATATTATATTGTACTGTATTCCATCACATTGATTTAATCACATTATATTGTACTGTATTAGATTTTATCTCCCATTTGTTGAAGTTAATTGGATTTTTTTCGGTTTTTGGACACTTCTGTGAATTCTCATATTTGTTGTTGTAAAATACATACATGGTTAAAAAACGTGTAAAGACAAATGATGAGAACAATGTATATTGTAAGGCTACCTTTTGAAATGAGTTGACCACCTTAAAGATCCTTTAACAGTCCTTTAACAGCACAAATCACACCAGCAACGCTACATATAACCCCCAGACTCAGTATAGCCACATCTATAATCCGATCCTGCACAGTGAGCCGCCTCCACTGCAATTTGAGATGAAATAGAGATGGAAGTATGAGTGTCATTGCTGCTCCGGTCACACTCCCAGTCAGGCCCATTAGCAGAGAAAACCTGGGCACTAGCATGGACAGTAGGTATGACGACACCAACAAGGCGCCACGCACCATGAGAGTTGGACAAGAAATGCCATGACTTGTCTGTTTGGAAGAAGATGATAGGGAAGCATCTGGAAAGAGATCGAAGGAGAAAGGTTGGAAAGAGTTGCAGTGATGTTATTGGTGGCAAGCCTTACTGACCCAAACAACTTTTGTCTCATAGTTTCATTGGAATAACGTAATGCAACTCCTAAAACATAAATTATAAAAGTAACTTGCAGTAATATTGGGTGTTTAGTTAATCAATTAGGGGATGTTTAAACTCTTTGTTCAGATGCTTTTTTTTTATATCACAAATAAATTTATATCTTTTTTGCTACATTAAACTTCACCAAAACCAAAAATAGCCCTGTAGAGTAAGGAATAATTGTCCAACAAAGCCCAACTTTTGATAAAAAAATGAATAATTCATTCTGTATACAAGGGTGGAAACTAGCAACTCCCACTGCCCTACTGAGAGGAGCTTTATTTAAATAGTTCAGAACAAATTTCAACTAAAGGTTAAAAAAATGAATCTAGTTTTATACAGAAACACTCTAGAAATTCAGTCTGATCACATAAACAGAGTAAAAGTTAATTACATAAATTGTTCAACAATCCTAGTAGTTAGACAATCATGTCAGGTTGAGTTATTATTCAAAATGGTAAAACGTTTTCTGTCTAAAATAACCAGCAGATTACATTATGGTGTTATAACTGCTGCATTTACTTAAACAAACATGCTTGTAGTTAAAGGAGAGAAAAGAAGCCCCCTTTAACAGGATAAAACCTCAAAAACCTGGCTCTGGGTGAGAGACCTTTTGCTGTGGCTAACTAGGAGTTTGAAAAGTGGCAGGTACAGTAAATTGGGCTGACTCAACCACAGCAGAGTAGGATTCATAATGTGAACAGGACAACATCATGCAATATCCTTTGACTGACTTAGGGTACCAATGCCTTGGAGCTACCACAATACTGCTGCAAATGCCATTGAGTTGGAGCAGATTATCTGAGTGACATTAGCTTGCTAGTCCAAATCGATGGGTAAAATCCAAGCCAAGGAATTAACCTGAGGCTGTTTATTATAGCTGTTACAGTATCTTCATGTCTTTAAGTTTGACAAGAATGAAAGTACAAACATCAAACTTTAGAATAAGCCTTAAAACATTTTTAACAGAATATTCTTTTTCTGGAGCATTGCTGAAATAAGTGATTTTTGTAAAAGAAAATTTCCTGGCTGTCTCACCTCTAAGAAACCATGTTTGAAGAATCTCAGCAGCAGAGTAGAAGGGCAGAGGGAAGGAAAGAAGAGCTTTAGCTAGGAGACACAGATTGACAATAGGCCGAAGGTTAAGGGGCAGGTTGTCAGTGATAACTTCACTGGTCTCTGACCCCCAAGTCAACACCGCCTATAGAGAAGAACAATGAAAAGATACCCTTTACTAGTGTGTCCTCTTTATGTTCCATCGATATCACACCTGATGTTGGAAAGGGGTAGATCTGGGAAGTATTTATCTATTACATTTTTCTTTGTTAGAATCCACCACAAACTGTCATTCCGTTTATATAGAGATTCAGCATTTGCACCTACCAGTAGTGAAAAAGTGGTTTTCATGATGCATGCAATTCCATGGGTCCAACCCAACATGGTGTCAAACTGCCCTCTATCCTCCATGCTGCCTTCTAGGGAAGGTAGGAAGATCTGAGAGGTGTAGGAGAAGATGATGACACCTACTGAGACAATGAAGTCTTCTGGGTCCACAGACAGAGAGAGGGAGGACCAGGACCAGTATCTGGCACAACTCAGGCAGTACAGTATTACTAATAGGCTGACAAGGAGACAAAATATAAAACAAAAATGGTCATTTACTATTTTGAACATTTTAACAAGTGTACAAAACATGCTCTACTGGATCATTACAATTTCCTCAGCCTGGAATATTTCTGTTATTGTTGGGGTGTGTTTTTAAGCATAAACTTACCCATGTCAGGGTTCTGCCCTTTGTTTAGATTTCTTTTTAAACTGTACTGTAGTTGTTTTCTGGCTGTGTTGTGTTTTCTGTTCATCTCTATTGCCCCCTTGTGCTAGTCTCCTTTCCCTTTGGCTCCTTTCTAGCTGCTTCTGTCCACACCTGCTCCCAATTAACTAATTACTCCATTCTTGGTTCTATCTCCCATATAAATTTCTCCTCTGCAGTTCAACGGTGCTGATTTTGCAGTAACTGTCCAACATCTTTGGGATTATTTCATTCTGAAAGATTAGCAATGTAACCTTTTTAAGCAATACTTTGGTCAAATCAAGACATAACTACCTGCTTTTTTAGTTTTTTTCCCCCCTCTACTTCAACTAGTTTATTAAACCAAAAGAACAGCAGAGTGGATTTAGTAGATCAGGGAAAAATGTCCTGCATTACTATTGTCTAGACTAAGCTGTAATATGCCTGTCCAAAGGATTAAAGAGCAAGAAGGAGACTAAACAGCTCTCAGAACTCCTAAGGTAGACAATATCTACCCGAGTCTCAGCATTACTTGGTTTCAAACAGACACAAATATCATTAGAAATAAATCATGAAAAGAGCAAGTATTTTCAGTAGCAATTGAGAAAACCGTCCACCCAGCAGCAGCTGCAACAAGATTGTAGGGATGAGAATAAGAGCATATCAAACTGTCAACCTGAGTCTTTAAAAATGATGCATTAGCCTTATGTGTGTAGATAACTTCTTACTTGTCACAGTTCTTTGACAAATATTAAATATTTCCATCACCTTATCAGTATGTGGGCCAAGGAGCATAGCAGACTAAAGGTGGAGACTGGTCTGAGATCCGTCAGAAGCAAGCAGGGCAGAAGGAACATCAGTGACATCAGAGAACACACAGATCTAGGAAGAGCTACTCCTGACAGACTGTCACACAGCAAAGTAGTGGAGACGAGCAGATACAGGGTGCAGGTCATCAGCAGTTCAATTACCTAAAACGGAAATTTTACAGTTACTGGACTGGGGTAAAGAAAAAGAGTAATCATCCATGTCTTATAAAGTCACCTTTTGCAGGTCTAAGACTAATACATGCTCTTAAAAAACACAATATTGATACTTCTTTTACATAAAGAGCTTTGCACAAAAATGAAATAAACTTTTCCAACAAACACAACATGATATATTGTAAGGGTGATTTTTAAAGGTTAGCTGCCTGACTTAAAACTGATTTTTTTAAGGAAAATAGGTCAGTGAAGGGGGTTAAGAACAGAGTTAATATAATCTCTGAAGGTTAAGTAGGTGAGGCTATGTGCTGTTGAGGTATTGATGTACAGGAGTTTGTTGAAGAGTTTGGAAAGTGAAGCCTAAGTGATGCTGTCACAGTAATTGAATCAGAAAAATGATAAATATCTGAGTAAAGTTTTAGATGTAGAGAAGGAGACTGAAGGGTGAAAGAGAACAATATTTTTTGAGATATTAATCTTGACTGGTATTCAACTGTTAGATGAATGTCAATGAATGAGGCAAACCTTTCAGTAGGGTGTTGTCGCAAAGTTTTAGGGCATAAGTTGTTAGAAGATTCATTAAAAATTTGGGGTCATTTATTAACATCTGTTGTAGTTTCGTTGGAGAAAGCTGTGTTGGATCTGTAATTTAAATATTGTAGGCGAGTTAGTATAAATACAGGGGGTTTGGAATTTGGTCTAAACATGGATGTACATGTTGTCCGCATAGCATGTTGTGACAAATAATATGGCCAATTGGGGGGACATGAAAGACAAATAGGTAAGGACCAAAAATAGAACCATGGAGAACACCCCGTAACAGAAGGACCTAGACTTGCTTACATAAATGAAGTGGTGTGTAACACATTCGTAATCAGATGAGGGCAGAGCTCTCCTAGCTAATGCCATTTGATGTCTCTGTTATAACAATCCAAGGAGTTAGAGCACTGAGATTGTTTCATACATATTTATCTGCTACCCACATTGTTAGAAAAAGTGTAATACTGTGTTCTTCTTAAGCAATCTTACCTGGGCTAAATTGATCAGCCATCCTCCCACTACTGACCAATTTGGCCACAGTCCTTTACAGCATGCATCCATGATATCCTGGTAGCTGTGTCGGACTCTGACCTTTGACACATCGTTGGAATCTTTTCTAAAATGTAGAAATATATCATTTGTTATACTCTTTCATAGTCTCTTAAATCTCAGTGACTTTAAAATCTTAGCTTTACTCATACGCTTTTATTGACAAGAAATTATAGTTTAAAAGAGTCAGATAAACCGAGTCAAAGTTCAACTGATCCATAAAGTAACTCTAAATCAGTGCTCTCGAACTCCATTCCTGTAGGGCTTTGGTCCTGCAACTTTTGTCTCCACATGAAAACACCTGACTCCAAAATGAGCTTATTAGTAGACCTTGACTGCTGCTAGTAAGGTGGGACAGCCATTTGATTTAGGTGTAGGGCAAAGGACATATCGAAAAGTTGCAGGACACCGACCTTGAGGATTTCAGTTTGACATTTTCTCTAAATGATGCAAGAAGCTATAAAAAATAGCTGTACTCTAATAGAAACTCTACCTGTGTTCCTCTTCGTACAAACAGGCCACCAAACTCCTTCCTGTGTGGTTGCAGACCCAGGCTGAGAGCACCAGCACCACCAAGCCCATATAACCCGATTGAACCAGAGCAAAGGGCAATCCCAATACAAATATACCCTTAGAGAGTGAAACAAGAAATTAAGAATACATTTCTAAAATTGAAAGAGGTAACTGACAAAAAGATTATTCAAAAACAAATATTTTTGTCCCTTAATTTTCTCACAAGGCATATTTGACAGTCGTATATTAATCTCCAATTTTCCTTTTTGTTACAGCAGTTTTTGTCTTGTACTCAATTTAAGATTTCCTTCTGTTCAAAATTGAATCACTTTTATCTCACATTGTTATTCAACAACTTGTCAAATTGGGTTTATTGCTGAAATTACAGTCAAATTTCAGGAAATGGACTGCCATTCATAGGTCCCTAAGAGGAGAGGACATGCTAGATGCTGAAAGGCCCTTTATCCAAAATCCAGAATTGAGGTCAATATTCAGGCAATGGTCATTTGTAGGAAGGTAGCTGCTGCAATACTAGGCAAAGTATTTGGGTAAAACTCAGCAGTCATTAGGCAGAGTGATTAGCCTCGTGAGACCATCCTGATCTCGCGAGCTTTCAAGATTTCACTCGCTAATCAGTCTGGAGACTCTCCGTTGAAGAAAATTTGGAGCCGTTCACCAAACGAACGTCCAATCAGCGTTGGCTTTGAGGCGGGTTGAGGTGTAACGCAACAAGAAGCGCTACAGTTCAGTCTAAAGAACATGGCGGCTTCAGTCTATGAAATTAGCGTTAACGTGACTATTGAGCAAGTTTTATCGGAATTACAGAGTATTTCTTCACTGAAAGAAGAGCAAAACACTGCTCTGGAGGCTTTTCTCAGAGGAAAATATGTTTTTGCTCTTCTCCCGACTGGTTTCGGCAAGAGTAGCCTGGCTGTTAGTACGTCACATGCTTGGTTGATCTGATTGGTTTATTTGGCCCGTCTATCACCAACATAGGCCAATCAGCTAACCAGTATTTTTGCCCCTTCTCAAAATTACTTCAACGGAAGGTTTCCAGATGGATATGTGGAGCATATCTATGGATACCTATGGATATGGATATGGATATGGATATGCGGAGCAAATCCATCTGGCGGAGTCAGGTTACAGAGTGATGGCCAATGCTTAGATATCAGTTCAACATTTGATATCTGTCATAGGCTATAAGACAAAGAAAGGTAAATCTGTGGGCATCAGCTGGGTATACCACAAGAAGCACTAGTGAGTCAGATATAAAATTTCCACTGGCAGTGGGTCAATCAAAATTCTGGAGAGGAGGCAGACAGTGTCCTTAACTATACTGCAGGCCAAAACTGAATAAGGTAGAAAATCAGGAATAGCAAAGGTGGAATAAGTTAGGTTAATTACAGGGGTCGGCAACCCGTGGCTCCAGAGCAACATGCGTCTCTTTAATGCCTCTCTTGCGGTTACCTGGAGCTTTTTCAAAAATGTATGAAAATGGAAAAGGATGGATTTTTTGTTTTTTTGTTTTAATATGGTTCGCAGGAGGAAACAAACATTCATTATATTTTCCAATGCTGTAAAAGGAAGTATACGTCATAGCCTGCAACACAGATGGCTGTTGTAAACAAACTGGCGGGTGTGTTTCGGGTCATGGATCCCAAAGGGAGAAAAAGGAAGATAGATGATGACAACACAGAATTCAAAGAAGAATGGGCCCAATCATTTGCTTTTGTTATCTATGCGGAAGGATTGTCTGCATGTTTGCTTCGTAATGAGAAGCTGCCAAGTAATGAAAAGAGTAATTTGGAAAGGCATTTCCAGGTAGGTCATGCTAGATTTGAAGCTGAACTCCAAGTTGGTAGTGAGAGAAAAATTGAGTTTGCAAAAATTCTGGATAAATTGCAGGAGCCCAAAGATAGCTTTTAAGAATTGGATTGCATCTCAAAACTACACTGCAGCTGCTAGTTTTAATGTAACCATGGAAAACTGTTCACAGGTTTTTTTTTTCCCCCCCAAAATATTCGAAAATAAAAATAACACCAAAAAATAATTTTTTTATTGTGTTTCTATAATTTCATCAATGCAACAAAACCTAACACATTAATATTGAAATGTAATTTTAACTTAAAGAATGGAATATCATACAGGAGACTTGTCACATGATGTGACATTTGCTCCAGCATAAACATTTATTCATGAATGCTTATTATACATTTAAGCTCACACAGTCCTTTTTTTAATAGTGGGCTAATACACTTAGAACATTTATTTATTTCTTTTTGGTCCATTAAGGCTCTTGGAACAATTTGGGTTGCCGACCTCTGACTTACAGCATGGAGTAATGAGCATGACATGAAAAATGTATCATTAAATTAGCTTCTGCATATAAAATCTGACCATATATTCCCCAATATAAGACAACGTCCCTTATCATACTTCACTGAGAAGATAAAACTGTGCAAGTCCAAGCAAACGCTCTCCTCTGCTGCTAGACTGAGACCAATAGTTATGTGGTCTGTCTTCATTGGACCTGTTCTGCTGAGCTCTGTTTCATCAGAACAATACCCAGCAAAATGCTCTGTCCCAGTTGAGAAAATTATTCTAGAATAAAACATTTTAAATAGGCCTTCATGTATATAAAAAAAAAAGAGACAAAAATGTCATGGTCTTGGTTCTGTTGATTTTTCTGAGTTTTCAGTTTCACGTTGATCCATGTTTTTTCTTTGTTTTCTTTGGTGTTTTCTGGATATATTTGAGTTCTTAGGTTTTTCTTTACTTGCCCTCTGTTGATCTCTTGTGTTGGTCTCATTTTCTCTAGCTCCTTCTAGAACCCTTTGTTAAAACCTGCTCCCAATCAGCTCATTAGTCCTGTCTTTGTTTAGTCTCCCATAAATACTCTCCCTGTGCAGTATCTCAGTGCTGGTTCATCGTCTTACTGCATCTTTCCCTGGCTCCTCGTGCATGATTTCCCACATGTCTCCATTGTTGTGGTTCGTTTTGCATTTTTATATTGGATATTTTTTTTTTATTCCTGCCTCTGTTGCCTATAAGAACTAAAGAATTAAAACTACAAAAACCCACCTCTGCCTCCTCTCCTCTTGATGAGGGTTCTCAAAACCTCAAACAAGCCAGATTTATTAGAGTAAGGCAATATCAGCCAACCATCAATGGATGTTTTAACATAAAGTCATATGGCTATTTTTAAATATTTGGGTGTTTGCAACAGCTATTTCAGTTTGATATATCTAATAACTGATGGACACAGTAATTTTTTGGTATTGAATTGAGGTTTGACTAACAGAAAATGTGCAATATGCTTTAAAACAAAACTTGACAGGTGTAAAAATGTGGGTAGCCTACCCTAATCATTTAATAGATTTGAATACTCTTAACTACTTTTCATTGACTTACTGAAACACAAAATTGATTTGGTAACTTCATTAAGATTTAAACTTCATAGCAAGGTGTATCCAATCATGAGACAATATATTTAAGGTGGCCAGTTCAAAGTTGTTCTTCTGTTTGAAGCTCCTCTGAAGATTCATCATGGACACCTCAAAATAACTCTCAAATGATCTGAAAACAAAGTTTGTTCAACAGTCATTCAGGGGAAGGATACAAAAAAGTTGTCTCAGAGATTTAACTTGTCAGTTTCCACTGTGAGGAACATAGTAAGGAAATGGTAGACCACAAGAACAGTTGTTGTTGAGCCCAGGAGTGGCAGGCCAAGAAAAATATCAGAGAGGCAGGGAAGAAGAATTGTGAGAATGTTCAAGGACAACCCACAGACCACCTCCAAAGACCTACAGCATTATCTTGCTGCAGATAGTGTCACTGTCCATCGTTCAACAATTCAGTGCACTTCGCACCAGGAGAAGCTGTATGGGAGAGTAATATGATAGAAGCCTTTCTGCAAGCACGCCACAAACAGAATCGCTTGAGGTATGCAAAAGCACATTTGGACAAGCCAACTTCATTTTGGAATAAGGTCCTGCGGACTGATTAAAGGAATGGTCATTAAAAAAAAGGCGTTATGCATGGCGGCAAAAAAACACAGCATTCCAAGAAAAACACTTGCTACCCACTGTAAAATTTGGTAGAAGTTCCATCATGCTTTGGGGCTCCATTGCCAATGCTGGCACTGGGAATTTTGTTAAAGTTGAGGGTTGCATGGATTCCACTCAATATCAGCAGATTCTTGAAAATAATGTGCAAGAATCAGTTACGAAGTTAAGTTATGCCAGAGATGGATATTTCAGCTAGATAATGATCCAAAAACACTGCTCCAAATCTACTCAGGCATTCATGCAGAGGAATAATTACAATGTGCTGGAATGGCCATCCCAATCCTCAGACCTGAAATCATTAAACATCTGTGGGATGATTTGAAGCACACTGTCCATTTTCGGCGACCATCAAAATTAACTGAACTGGAATTTTTTTTGCAAAGAATGTTAAAAAATCCCTTCAACCGCGATACAGGAACTCATTTACAGCCACAGGAAGTGACTAGAGGTGGTTGTTTTTGCAAAAGGAGGGTCTACTAAATATAAATGTTTCTTTTTTTGCTAGGGTGCCCATGTTTTTGTCCTGTCAAATTTTGTTTTAATGCATACTGCACATTTTCTGTTAGTCCAATAAACCTCAATTGAATACTGAAATATTACTGTGTCCATCAGTTATTACATATATCAAACTGAAATAGCTGTTGCAAACACCTAAATATTTAGAAATAAATAATTAAGATTAATAGGGGTGCCCAAACTTTTTTATATGATTGTAATAATTTTTTTTTTATTTGTTTCTGTCTATTGGCATGGACTCACCCTAAAAAAGTGTTTTTTTTCTTTTTTTATTCATGGACCATCCTGGCTGAATAAATAAGTAAATAAAAACATATTTTATTGTCTTAAAATGCCTGCAGCATCTACGAGACATTGTCTTTGTTATCCAAGGTACTAGTGCCTGTGATAGAGCTCTGCTCAGGCAGTAGCCACTGTTTGTTCTGCTGTGTTTACTACACAGCTCACACTGTGCTTTCATCGCCCCTAACAGGCCGCCATCTTGGTAGTCCAACAGCGTATTGAATTTATCACCACAAACTTGTGTTAGGA